ATTGTGTGCAAAGGACACTCTGGTGGATGAGACAGTGCAGCGACTTCATTTTTGGCGCAAGTGCAGACAGCCGTGCAGACAATCCTTTGATCTTCCCTGCCATCAAAGGTGCACCATCTGTAACAAGCAGGTTAATACACTCCAAGTCCAGTCCGTTCTCTCGAAAAAAATCCACAATCTTCTGGAAGAGTATTTCTCCTGTTGTTTGCCCTTCAAGTGGTATTAATCCCAATATGTCCTCTTTGAAACCGTGACCATCATAAAAACGCACAAACATACAAAGTTGAGCAACATCCGAGTTGTCCGTTGATTCATCCACAGCGAGGGATATGAAATCAGCCTTCCTCAGTTGATCAAGAAGAGTGTCAAAAACATCCATAGCTAAAGCATCCACTCTTCTCGCAGTGGTTGTATCGGACAGTGGAATTGATTTAATCGAAGTTATAACTTGCTCTTTCACGTTTTCATCCGTCACCACTTCCTCAACAGCAGCTTGTATGCATTCTTTCACTGTTTCAGCATCTGTAAATGGTCTTTTATTTTTAGTCAATATCCATGCGATTCGCAGAGATGCTGTTGTAGCTTTCTGCTGCAACGTGCAGGTTCGGGTGAAATGCACACAACTCCGCTGATAGTTTTGGCTCAGTGTCTTTATTTTTATCTGTCGAGCCTCAGAGCCTGGTGGATATCCACTGTCAAAGTTAGCATGACTCGTCTTGAAGTGCCTCCGCACGTTGTATTCTTTATTTACCGAGCAAATGACGAGACAGACAAGGCACATGGGTTTTCCTTCAGCATTTTGAATGTGTGCATACTTATCAGTCCACTCCTTGTTAAATCTTCTATTTTCAGTGTCAATTTTACGTCTCTTCTCTTTTGAATGTGACATGTTTTTTTCCAAGAAACCGCTGTTATAAATCGTCACATACTTTCCATCAGGAGCTGCGCAACTTGTCGTAAAACCTGCGGTTTACGGGCACTGAAGAGCATAACAGCGTCACCGACCTGTTGGATAGGTCCCCGCTCCAAAACGTGCCGTAAAATGTCGCAAAGTGTTGTAAACTGCCGCGATTACGGTTTAGCCATCGGCTGCTAATAACTGCGACACTGCTACTTAAAAAAACTATTTATCAAGAATTATGAAGACAATGGGCCGGTCCAAAATGCTTGATGGGCCGGTTCTGGCCCTTGGGCCGCCTATTGAATAGGGCTGCCCTAAGCCCTCCAAGAAGCCAGCTCCCCCACTGGGCCCAATAGGCACCTTTATTCCCAAAATGCCACCCAGGGCATGGAGACCCCAGCCCACCTATCCAGGGCCCAAAGCAGCAGCATTGCAGAGCCCCGCTGAGTCTTTTCTAATAGACACTCATTACTGGTGGAGGGCTTCCCGAGTAACCATTCTTTATAATTTAAACACCAACAGAGGAAGCCTGCTGGATTGCTTTATGGGTACAGATTTCCAGAGCAATAAGAGTGGATGAATTGTGGAGACGTTTCAGTCAGGCCCAGTGGAGCTCTAATGCTGGTGTTACCTGGTGCTGGCCCCTCTGGTGCTGTGTGTGAATGCTTGGGAAATCATTACTATGGCCTCTCTATAACCTCAATAAGTCAGGTTAGTGTCAATAACCTGGCCTTTAAAAATTGATAAGGGTGATCACCTCACTCATAGTAGGGCCGTTTCTGAGCAGCAGACGTCCCTGTGAGGTGATTCTCATTTATAAGTCATGTCTGCATTTAGGATGCATCTCCCTGAAAATGGCTTCAGGACAGTCATCTCCTCTGTGTCGGGGCTTTATCAGCGTTTTGCTCTACAGTGAACCCAGACAGATGACTGAGAGAAACTATTAGACTTAGATCATTCACAGATATTACTGTACAGCCTAATGCTTTTTTGTTTGATTTACCTTTAAGCAGAAATAAATCCAACAGTTTGATGGCCGACGTGACACAACATGCCCATCTCATCCATGGAAGCTCCAGTTGGACACATATTTATAAAATGGAGCCAACCCCATCACCCTTAGGAAAACAGACAGGTTCTGCATGACATATGGAAATATGTTCGATCAAAACACCAATTTGGAGAGTCCGGCTGAGATCTTAAAGCTGTCTGGTGTGACACGTTGAAATGTCACAGAGCTACATTTATTCATGTGAACATTAGAGGCACATTCCTGTCCGGAGGCCTTGGAGACAAAAGAGGAGGAATTCCCCAGAGAAGAGAGACCTGGAGGACAGATTCACGCCTACCAGCTGGACCCTGAAACAACCCCCCCCCCCCCCCACACACACACACACACACTCACACACACACAAAGATACACACACACACACACACACATAGATACACACATACACATACACACGCAGACACCAAAATGCATGCATGCCCCCTCACACACTCACACACACACAAAGATACACACGCACACACACACACACACACACATAGATACACACATACATATACACACGCAGACACCAAAATGCATGCATGCCCCCTCACACACTCACACACACACAAAGATACACACACACACACACACACACACACATAGATACACACATACATATACACACGCAGACACCAAAATGCATGCATGCTCACACACTCACACAGACATTCAGACATACACGTGCATGTGTACACACACACACACACACACAAACACATATGTACACACATGCACGCAGACACATTCATGCAGCTGTGGCTACAATGTAGCTCATCTTCACCAGCGTGTGAATGTGTTTGTGAATGGGTGAATGATACAGACCATGTACCAAACGCATCAGTACACAGTTGTAGACTTCATATAGTTTTCATGTGCTTTTGTTGAGCAGAGAAAATACAGAAACAGCTTTTTTTCAATTGTTTACACTCTAAAACTAAAATTTCCACACAATTTGCTAACTTCTACTCCAAGGAGCAAAACATCACCACAGATTTGCACAACATTAAACACAAGGTCTGCTTCACTCTTTTTGCAAAACTCCACACGCATTTCAACAGCTTAGACACAGATATGGATTATGAGGTCACTTCCTTTTCATTACAAAGCCCCGGACTGCCAATGATCACACTAATGAATGAATTGGATAATCACATCCACAAGGTGTGGAAGCACACATTTGCTAAATTGAAAAAGCAGCACTCAGGTGGGCTATAAAAGGCAACAGGTGAGTTTTTTTCAGAGTCAAACTGTATGTACTTCATGCAGTAATTGTATTTGTCTACAGATTTTGTTTGTTTCTTTGATTTAATTGTTGGTGGATTACTGTAACTGATTATGGTAATAAATACTGTATTTCTTGAATTGAAATAAATACTTGAGATGTTCAGTCTGCAGCATCAGTGTTGTGCTTGGTAAGTTTAGAGTTTAGGCCTATTTCTTCCTATATCTCAAACTAATCATGAAGAAGGTTGTGGGTTTGTCACTACTTTGTTTTGTCATCAACATGATCCCTTACATATTAATGTCTGCCCAAATCTCTAGCTCATGCTATTTCCTAAAAATTATTTTTTTTTTACAAATGTGTTTATTATTCATCACAGCAGTGGGAAACTGTCTGCAATAGAGTCTGATCTTTGAGGACTGTGTTGGTTAAATGAAAACAGCACAAATATGCGTATATGTTTAGACTGAAAAGTGTAATTTTGCAAACAATCTAGAAATTCTGCAAATTGAGTTTGGTGTTTGGATATTTGTGATTATATTTTAAGAAAAAAGAACCCGGTTACCAAAACTGTGAGTAAACAATTGAAAAAACTAAAGGAAGAAGAAGGTCTACTGGTGGTATACGAGTGGATGTTACTGCCATCTAGAGGACAGAGGATACAAAGACAATTCCTGCCTGATGTGTGGACTCATGGACATTTGATCAAATCCTTGTGTGAATGAGAAAAATCTGTTTATTTTACTCTGTGTGTGTGTGTGTGTGTGTGTGTATGTGTGTGTGTGTGTGTGTGTGTGTGTGTGTGTGTGTGTGTGTGTGTGTGTGTGTGTGTGTGTGTGTGTGTGTGTGTGTGTGTGTGTGTGTGTGTGTGTGCGTGTGTGTGTGTGCTTGTGTGCATGAGTGTGCGTGTGTGCGTGCGTGCATGCGTGTGTGTGTTCGTGTGTGTTCGTGTGTGTGTGTGTGTGTGTGTTTTTACACAGACGTGAGTTAAGTTATCTTCTCTGTCTGTGTTTCGCTGAGTTGACTAACACATCTGTGTAGGACGCATGCACCCTAACCTGTACCACAGGGAGGAGAAGGAACATTTTTTAAAAAGCTCTGCTCAACATAAAAACCACGAGGCGCTTCAAGACACCCTGAACCCACTCACTGGCCAATAAATGCCTGTGGGATCTCCTAGAGTGAGCTAGGAAGTGATGCAGGGTAGATTCCCATCCGGACCTGTTACCACCACGACCCAACCTTGGGTATGCAGAAAAATGGACGGATGTATGGAGACCTTCTAGTCTGTTCTGGTTTATTCCAAATAGATATAAAAACATAATTGAAGCTTATTTATCTTCAGTTGAACTTAATATTTTAGATTTTTTTTTTTTTTGGTTTCCACTTTTAATCAATCTGACTTTCCATCCTAAAAATTTCCACAGAATAAAAAAGGCCAATCCTCCACCAGGATTACATCTGGGGAATGGATAGTAGTTGAACTTTTGGGAATTTTTCTAAAAGGTTTTCGTCTTTTTCCCTCCACCAACTTGTTGTTTGTAGCGGATACAATATTTATGGGTTTTTCAAAAAATTCCCTCCATCTAGATCAACGTTAGATTCACGCTGACCTTCGCCTTTTATTTCAGTTTGAAACTGAATTTATCTCGCAGTGATAATAAGAGCTGAAGTGGTTTAGATCAAATGTGTCATGAGCCCAAACTAAAACCATGTTCTAGCTCAGCATCTGTGACATTTACTGATTTTAAATCATGCTTTTGGGTTTGCTGATGCTGATCAGCATTGATTAGTTTTTTTACACCTAAATGAAACTCTTCTCATTCATTTCTTCAAATCTGTCTTTATTCACTATTGTGCACATTTGTCATAATATCTCTTTTGATAGTTTCCTGTCCCGCTGCATTAACAGTACAACTCCATTTTACAGGACTGATGTTTTTTACATTTCTGTAAAAATAAATCAAGTCAGGATAAGGATCATTAAGACTAAACATTCTACAGCCTTCAGTAGAAAACACTTAAGCTGTCTTCTGTTCTCCCATCCTTCTTACTCTCATTGGATCTGCTCAGCCAACACAGAGTCCTTCGCTCCTGCTGCCAGCACAGCGAAGAGGAAAGGTGGAAAGAGGGAGCGGATGTAAAGTGCCACCCTGGGGATGGGGTGGGCCAGCAGAACCTCCTTTCTTTTCCTGTTCACCGTTTGCACAATCTCATTGGCCAGGGCTGACGGCTTCACACCATGGGTGAGATGACTCTGAATATCTGTGGAAGGACATGAGATGATCGGACTCAAAACTACAGAGGTTGTGGTCAAAAGTTTAGCGAATGACACATGCTAGCTTGCTGCCTCAAGTTTTTTTCACTGCAGTTTTCAAAAGCTCCAGAATGTTCTGAAGAAGAGAGGGGCGGAGCTGTCAACTGACCACTACCTGGTGGTGAGTTGGCTCAGATGGTGGGGGAGCATGCTGGTCAGACCAGGCAGGCCCAAACATATCGCAAGGGTCTGCTGGGAATGTCTGGCAGAGTCTCCTGTCAGAAGGAGCTTTAATTCCCACCTCCGACAGAACTTCCAAAATGTTCCGGGGGAGGCAGGGACATTGAGTCTTAATGGACCCTGTTGCGTGCCTCCATTGTTGAGGCGGCCGACCAGAGCTGTGGTCGCAGGATCGTCAGTGCCTGTCATGGTGGCAACCCCCATCGGTTAGTCAAGCTGAAGAAAGAGTCCTATCAGGTCTTTTTGGCCTGTGGGACTCCAGAGGCAGCTGATGGGTACCAGCAGTCCAAGCGGAACGCGGCTCGGGTGGTCACAAAGGCAAAAACCCGCACATGGGAGGAGTTCGGTGAGGCCATGGAGCAAGATTTCCGTACGGCTTCGAGGAGATTCTGGTCCACCATCCGGCGCCTCGGGGGGGAGCAGTGCGTTACCAACACTATCCATAGTGTGGGCGGTGTGCTGCTGACCTCTACTCGGGACATTGTGGATCGGTGGGCAGAATACTTCGAAGACCTCCTAAATCCCACCGACACGTCTTCCAGTGAGGAAGCAGAGTCTGGGGACTTTGGGTTGGCCTCTCAAATCTCTGGTGCTGAGGTCACTGAGGTGGTTAAAAAGCTCCTCTGTGGCAAAGCTCCAGGGGTGGATGAGATCCGCCCGGACTTCCTTAAGGCTCTGGATGTTGTGGGGCTGTATTGGCTGAAGCGGCTCTGCAATATCGCGTGGGCATCAGGGGCAGTCCCACTGGACTGGCAGACTGGGGTGGTGGTCCCCTTATTTAAAAAGGGGGACTGCAGGGTGTGTTCCAACTACAGGGGGATCACACTCCTGAGCCTTCCTGGTAAGGTCTATTCAGGGGTTCTGGAGAGGAGGGTCCGTTGGATTGTTGAACCTCAGATTCAGGAGGAGCAATGTGGTTTTCGTCCTGGCTGTGGAACACTGGACCAGCTCTATACCCTTAGGGGGATCCTGGAGGGTGCGCGGGAATTTGCCCAACCAGTCTACATGTGTTTTGTGGATTTGGAGAAGGTGTTTGACCGCGTCCCTCGGGGGTCCCGGTGGGGGGTACTCCGGGAGTATGGGGTACCAGGCCCTCTGATACGGGCTGTTAGGTCCCTGTATGACCGGTGTTAGAGCTTGGTCCGCATTGCCGGCAGTAAGTCGGGCTCGTTCCCAGTGAGAGTTGGACTCCGCCAAGGCTGCCCTTTGTCACCGATTCTGTTCATAACCTTTATGGACAGGATTTCTAGGTGCAGCCAAGGTGTGAAAGGCATCCGTTTTGGTGGCCTGAGGATCAGGTCTCTGCTTTTTGCAGATGATGTAGTCCTGTTGGCTTCATCAGAACGTGATCTTCAGCTTTCGCTGGAGCGGTTCGCAGCCGAGTGTGAAGCAGCTGGGATGAGAATCAGCTCCTCTAAATCTGAGACCATGGTCTTGATTCGGAAAAGGGTAGAATGCCTTCTCCAGATCAGGGATGAGGTCCTGCCCCAAGTGGAGGAGTTTAAGTATCTCGGGGTCTTGTTCACGAGTAAGGGAAAGCTGGAGCATGAGATCGATAGGCGGATTGGTGCTGCATCTGCAGTGATGCGGGTGTTGTACCGGTCTGTCGTGGTGAAGAGAGAGCTGAGTCAGAAGGCGAAGCTCTCAATTTACCGGTCGATCTACTTTCCTTCCCTCACCTATGGTCATGAGCTTTGGATAGTGACCGAAAGAACGAGATTGCGGATACAAGCAGCTAAAATGAGTTTTCTCTGAAGAGTGGCTGGGCTCTCCCTTAGAGATAGGGTGAGAAGCTCGGTCATTCGGGAGGGGCTCGGAGTAGACCCGCTGCTCCTCCACATTGAGAGGAGCCAGTTGAGGTGGCTCGGGCATCTGGTCAGGATGCCTCCTGGATGCCTCCCTGCTGTGGTTTTCCGGGCACGTCCAATTGAGAGGAGACCATATGGTAGACCCAGGACACGGTGGAGGGAACGCCTTGGGATTCCCCCGGAGGAGCTGGCTCAAGTGGCTGGGGAGAGGGAAGTCTGGGCCTCTCGCCTTAGGCTACTGCCCCCGCAGCCCGACTCCGGGTAAGCAGATGAAAATTGATGGATGAACGGATGGAACAATCAGATGAATTACAGTTAATTGTGAAGGACCCATTTGTCATTAAAAGGAAAGTCATCTCAAAAACAATTTCCACTGTGTTTGTGAAGAACGTTTTAGGATGCCCAATAAGGTCCAGCAGGACCAGGACTGTCTCCTAAAGCTGATCTAGCTGTGGGATCAGGGTTCCAGTAGAAACGAGTCCCAGGTTCCTTAACTTTTCAGTTTAACGAGCACTGCCTCTCCATCCTGGACAACATCTGTCCTGTCAGAACCAGATCAGTTCCTGCAGTGAACCCTACTCCCTGGCTTAATGACAGCCTTCGCAGCCTAAAGCGCCAATGCAGAAAAATTGAGCGCTAGTGGAAGAAAACCCATCTCCATGTCCATCTGCTGCACCTAAAGGATCTTCTGACATCCTTTTAACTCTGCAGTCAGAGAGGCCAGGATTTCCCATTTCTCCAAGCTGGTGTCCCAGAGCAAAGGGAACCCAAAGGTGCTGTTTAACACCATCAGCAGCATTGTCTCTCCTGCCTCTCCTACAGCCTCCATCCACTCTGTTACAGACTGTGAGAACTTTCTGTCTTTCTTTGTGGACAAAGTCAATAAGGTTAGATCTAGCATCTCTCCTTCAGCCTTATCGCTGCCTCTTCCGACTCCAACCAGGCCCATCATCCTAGATAGCTTTGCTCCTGTTTCTTTGCCTGAGTTAACCAAACTAGTTAACTCTATGAAGACCTCTGCATGCCCCCTCCACATCTTACCCTCATCTTTGTTTAAAAGTGCTTTTCAGTCCATCGGTCCCAGCGTGCTCTCTATAATTAATGCTTCTCTGGTCTCTGGTCAGGTCCCTGCTTACTTTAAGAACGCTGTAATCCACCCGCTTCTTAAAAAACCGAGTCTTGACCCATCTCTCCATGACACTGTTGACCATCACCTGCTACTGGAGAGGCTGAGAGACTGGGTAGGCCTATCAGGAACTGCTCTGGAGTGGTTCTCCTCTTATCTCTCTGAGCGCACCTTTTCTGTGGCCGTCTCCAAGTTTAGGTCTTCCACCACCTCTCTTACCCATGGTGTCCTACAAGGTTCTGTGCTGGGGCCTCTGCTCTTCCTCCTCTGTCTGCTTCTTCTGCAGCAGTTTCTGAGCTCCTTTAAATGAACTTCCTACCATCTTTATGCAGATGACATCCAACTGTACGTCTCCTTTAAGCTCTGTGAGATGTCTAAGCTGCAGCTGTTACACACCTGCTTAGACTCTATTAAAATTTGGATGGTGGGAGCTTTCTACAGCTGAATGAAAATAAGACGGAGATCCTCATCTGTGCCCCAGACAAGCTGGTTCCCAAAGTCAGAGACTCTCTTGGTCAGCTTGCTTCTCACACCAAACCTTCTGTCAGGAATCTTGGTGTGACCTTTGACCCAGCTCTCACCCTGGATTCTCATGTCAGTTCTCTTGTTCACTGTTCCTTCTTCCATCTCAGGAACATTGCTAAGCTGAGTCCCATTCTGTCCCCCTCTGAACTTAAGACAGTTATCCACACCTTCATCTCCTCACGCTTAGACTACTGTAACTCTCTTTTCACGTGTCTGAGCAGAACCTCCCTGAACCGTCTACAGGTGGTTCAGAATGCCTGTGCTCGGCTTCTGACCAAGTCCTCCAAACACACCCACATCACCCCGCTTCTCCTCCAGCTTCACTGGCTGCCAGTCAACTTCAGGGTTCATTTCAAGATCCTGGTTCTGGGGTCTCATTTATCAAACATTGCGTAGAATCCTTACTAAAACCGTACTTAAGCTCAGCAAAAAAATGTACATACGCCAAGTAGATTTGTGATCTATCAAACATGGAGTATGCGCAGCTTCATGCAATTTCTGCTTTATAAATCACACCATACCTAGAAAGGTTCTCAGGTGTTTCTGAATCACTTCCCGCCCTCACCACGCCCACTTTCTGCCATAAATGGTCAATGCAAAGTGGCTTGTGGATCTCATGCATATACATGAGCCAGCTCATTGCAGCATTCCACCATTAATGATGGTGACCGCAGATCAAGGAAGCGCTATTTCACTGAAGCAGAAATTGAGGTACTCGGGGGTGAGGTGGAGAAATGAAAGGAAGTGCTTTTGCAAAACAAATAAGGGAAAATCCACGGAGTGGCACAGCGTTGCTGAAGCCATCAATGCTGTGAGTTCTTCAGAGAGATCTATGGTGGATATTAAAAAATGGTCTGATCTGAAGGTGGAAGCAAAAAAAAAAGATGTTTTGCCACGGCCAGAGTGTGTCTGCCACTAGCGGAGGCCCTGGCACCTCTGATCCCCCACCGCTCGCTGTTAGGATCTCAGCAGTACTCAGACTGGCAAGTGTGCGTGACATCGTGCCGTAGAAGGAGGGAGGCACTGACCATGCAGAGGAGACCGGTAATGTTTAAGCCTTTTATTAATGCAGATCAAATGTGTCCATCATTAAAATATAAAACTAAACCAAATCTCGTTGATTCCCCCCAGTGACTCTGGACGAAGCGTCCAACGAGGCATCCCGGGCAGCGACCAAAAATGTGGCTGCAGGGCCGGCCTGCCTCACCAGTGCGCCTCGGACACATGGCGCACCTGGAAGTGACCGGGTGCTAACTGACGCTGTCCTGCAGGCACAGAGGGACATGATTAGTGCGGTGAACGAAGTGAGGGAAGAACTGCACAGAATATGTGATGTCCTGACTGAAATTTCAGGAACGCTTAAAGATTTGGCAAGAAAATAAAAGATGAAAATCATGCCTTCTGTGTTGGTTCTATAAATGATGTATGACATTCTGTAGCCCCCGCTGATATTCCGCAAGCGGTACAAGTGATAATGCTGCTGGAATTCATAACATTATCCCTGTCAGCAGCAGCACTGCAGGTGCTCTCCGTGTCTAAAATGTGTGTAAGCCAGGTCCTTAGTCAAGTTAAAGTTGCACACGTTTTCCTGCTACATTTTCTTTTATAAATCCCAAAGTTTGAGTGGAAAGTTGATTACGCAGTTTTTTGACCCCGTTTGGTGCGTAAGCAAGCTTGATAAATGAGACCCCAGGTCTTTAGGACCTTACATGGACAAGCACCATCATACATTGGAGATCTTCTTAGTCCCTACACCCCCAGCAGGTCCCTGAGGTCCAGTGACCAAAGCCTACTGGTTGTGCAGCACCAGGCTAAAGACCAAAGGTGACAGATCATTTGCTGCTGTGGTCCCCAGACTCTGGAACTCTCTCCCCCTGAGCCTGAGATCAGTGGACTCAGTGGTCTCCTTTAAAAAGCAGCTGAAGACTCACTTGTTAAAGCTTTGGTGTGACCTTCATTACCCTGTCCTTGTTCAGCCTTTCCCGGGATCCTCTTATTTCCCTCTTTCCTATTAGTTTTTCTTTCCCTTTCCTTTACAATTTTTTGATCACAATTTTTTTTCATGTTAAATGGATTTTTAATCATCTTTTGAAATCTTTTTTATACTTAAATTATTGTTTTGTTTTTGAGAAGTGCCTTGTGATTTTTATCTTGAGAGGCTCTATATAAAAGATTGTTGTCTTTCTTTCTTTATCTGCAGCTCAGTGAGGAGAAGACTTGTGGAAAACTTGGTGTCTAGAACAGCAGCAAAGAAGCCACTTCTCTCCAAGGGATCCATCAGGCAAAGGACCAGGGACCAGACTGCTGAAGATTGGAGGAAAGTCATTCTTTCTGATTGTTTGGAGCTTGTGAAAAAAAAGATCATTAGGATGAGAAACGGTAAGTGCCTCCATCAGTCCTGTGTCCTCTAACAGTAAAGCTTCCTGAAAGCATAGATGGGGATGGGAGTGGGTGCTTCTGAGCCTATAGTGGGCTGAGTCACAGTTACTCCTCAGAACAGCCACAAACAAAGAAAGGTACTTAAACATCCTCCCAGAGGAACTCCTCCAGCCAACCAACAACAGTTAGGTGATGAACAAGGCCTTTCTCCAGCATGATGGAGCACCAGGCCAGAGGGATGAAGTCAGAACTTAGTGGATCAGTAACAAAACAACATGTTGGGTTCAAGTCCAGGAAACTCCCCAGCCTTTAAGCCCATTGAGAACTTGTGGTCCATCCTCCAGAGGCAAGAGGACAAATACAAGCCCACAAAGCACTGATGTTTGAAGAATGAGCTCCATCAGTCAGGATCTGATTGACAGCAGGTCAGGAAGAACTACAGAGGCCTAGAAGGACCAAGAACAATTTTGACTTTTTACATAAACTTGATGCAGTTTTCAGTTAAAACCTTTTGAAACTTAAGAAATGCTTGCAGATAGAAAACATCTGAGGGAAAAAAATCAACAACAGTCATGAGAACTAACACTGGTTATTCTCTAAACCTTTGGCCATGCTTTACAATAAAATACATTTTCAAGCTTTGATGCCAAGAAAAAAGCATGTGAGTATTTTTACTCACATTCAACCACAGCATTTGGTTTTTGAGTGACTTCCACGACAGGTGGTGGGTCCGAGTTGTTGATGAAAGTATGACTGATGGTACTGACGATGATCCCATACTCCTCCACCTCAGCCCTTAGGCAGTCGAAGAAGGCCTGCACCGCATGTTTAGAGGCTGCATCTATCAACAAAACACATGTACATGATAAATGACACATCAGTGGCGGCTGGTGGGGCGTGTGTGTTAACAGATTTCTCTTCTTAGTCCATTCTAAGAATGCAAACAGTTGGAAAAGGACTATAATGCCAAAACAATCATCAATTCCCTTCTCCAGATCAAAAGTAAAGTAAAATATCAAATCTACAGTTAAATTAGAAAATAACAATACTTAAATAAATACACTAATCACTTAGCCCAAACACAAAATACACAAACTACACAAAAGATGAATCCCTTTTAGTTCCCCTACCTCCTCTTCCACAGTTAGCTTGAAGTTTACAGCCTGACATCAGTTCAATGCCAGATGAGTTAGCATTCAGGCTAGGCCGGTGTGCTAAGCTGACGCCGGTTTCCCCAAAGTGCATTTAACTGATCATCTGCTCGTACTGACTCAGATATCCTTTCTCTAACCGTTGAAGTGTAACAGTTAGCAGTATGATGAAAATTCATCGTTTCAAGTGGGACAACTTACAGCTATCGGTGGCTGTCATGCACTTTTTTGCTCCACTATACATATTGATGTGTCAAGAAAACTCTGCACTAAATCTCACATGTACCCTATGGCAGCAGTTGGGACCCTATTGTGGAGTGAAATGCTTTGAGTTGGAGTTTTATGTTGGTCCCAAGCAACAATCTGAATTGAAAGATAGTTCATACGATGCCCCCCCCACCCCCCACCCCCACCCCCACCCCCACCCCCACACACATAAAACAAAGCTATAACAAACTGAAATTGATATTAGTTAAAGGGGCATCATGGAAGTCTGACAGCCAAAACATGTATAGAAATAATAAATGTCTTCTTCATACATTCTCCTGCAATGCCCTGGTCCTGTAGAATGAGCCCTGGCATTTTTACTGTGATTGCCTGTTGTTCTGTAAAATCACAGAAAAAGAGAGCTGCTCGGGTCGAGCAGGCTGCTTCATGCGCGTTCACACTCAGGCATAGCCCTCCGAACCGTTCTTTGAACGTTGTTTCAGCTGTCATCAAGGATATAAATGTTACAGATACAGAAGATGTCACTAGTGCTTTAGCTCACCTTGTAAGACATTGGACTCTTATGCAGAAGACCTGGGTTTGATTCTGGATGTGAACATAGTTTATTTAGAGTTTCTTTTTTACATTAATGATATATTTTTTACAGTAAGATGCCCACATTTTTATTTGAGACTCGCCGAACGGCATTGAATTCACAGATAAAAAAGATGTGGGTTCAACTTTCATTTTGGAACAATTTTTCAAGCAAGGGAAGGGAATGATCTGAGCATGCAGGAGGACTGACCCATCTTAAACCTTTGTCGGTTGTGCTGAAGAGAAAGGTACAGAACCAAATTATTTAATTAATTAGCTGCGTGTTCTCCTGTCCTCTGTCCTCTGGGCCACACACACACACACACACACACACACACACACACACACACACACAAGGGACTGTCTCAGCTGTTATTTTCGTTAAGGAGTGTGCACGTACAGCATACGCGCCTCGTGCACGAGCCTACTATTGAAGCTGCCATTACGCTTTTGGCCTGAGGGGGCAATCATGAGCATAAAAATTCAAAACTCTGTAAAGTCCCTTTAAACGGCTGTGTAGTTTGTTTCTGTAACTTTAGTTGGGACAGTTTTGTTCAGATATTGAAAATAATGTTGTTTACTATTCCACACAATTTTGCAAGATTGTGCATAAGCTATTTGCAGTTGTGCTATTTGGTGGTCAGTGGTAAACAGTAGTGGAGGCTCGACAATTTTCACTCAACATCATGGACGTAATTTTCACTTTAGAAGTGGGGGGACACGGAGTGGGGTGGGGGGGGACTGTTTATGTTTAATTAGTTTCTTAACTTGTTATCTTAGTCTCATTAGTAAACTAGTGTTTCCTCTGTGGGGGCCGGCTGCCCCGGGGACAGCGGTGGGCTGTGGCGGCCGGGGTGCTTCCCATGTCTACTCTTGCCAAGGCTACTGCTGCCAGTCTTGGTGCTCCCGGTGCAGTTGGCTCCTTTCATGGCGTTTTCATCTTCTTTGTATCTACTACATCTGCACTCAGCCAGCCACCCTTTCTCTATTACGTGTGTGTGTGTGTGTGTGTGTGCGCGCGCGCGCGCGCGTGCAGGAGTTTGAATCTGCTTGGGATGGGATTGAGGGAGGGAGAAACAAAGGGGATCTCTTATGTGAATCCGTGTGGGAGGGGTGGGAAACTGACGGCTGTCTGGTTGTTTTTAATATTGTAAAGTGCTTTGAGCTGCATTTGCATGAAAAGTGCTTCATAAATAAATTTTGATTGATTGATTGATTGACTGGGGGGGGGGGATCTTTAAAGTATACTCTAATGGGAAACAGGCTTCAACACAAACGGTTGGTTTCTGCTAGGTCCAGTGTCAGTTTAATATAGCGTAATATAGTTTTTGGATGGTAAAAAGTGCAGGGGTCAAAACTTGACTTTGGAAAAAGTGGGGGGACACATGCCCCCCCCCCCCCCCCCCCCAAAAAAAATTACGTCCATGCTCAACATTCAATAGGATCTAATTTTGCAGCTACAAATATTTGTTAGCACATAGCTTATGTCTACAATATGTACTTCCTAGCCAAAAAAAAGTCTCCATCTGCATTTAAGCAAACAGGTCAGAGCCTCTTATCGGATAATCACTGCAACTTTCAGCTGAAACAAGTTATTTAATCCAACTGGTGCAATGAGTTGCTTCTCATTTCTTAAACAACCATGTATAAACCATCTGGTAGCTGTGGAAAAGATGTTAGTCTGTGTGAGAAGGGTCAGATCGTTGCTGTACATCAAGCAGAGAAAACGTCTGAGGAGATTGCAGAAACGACTAAAACTGGGTCAAGAACTGTCCAACGCTTTATTAAAAACTGGTCTGATTAGTCCAGATGGACCCGGTTCCAGAGTGATGGTACATCAGGGTAAGAAGAGAGGCAGGTGAAGTGATGCACCCATCATGCCAAGTGCCTACTGTACAAGTCTGTGGGGGCAGTGTATGTACAAATATTAATCTTAGAGGGGACATATTACACCTTTAAACGAGATATAATCCCTCTCACATAAAGCGGTCTCACCAGCTCTGTTGTTGACAGTTTCAGGACCTTCCACAGAGTAGCAGAGGCGGTAGAGACCCACACGGCAGAACAAAAGGGATCCAAAAAGTGAGATTTTCACAAAATGTACCCTTACATGGAGTAATTACCCCACATTGTGAGCTGTCACCAACACCATAACCACAATTGTCACGCATCATGGGTCGATGGTGGCAGAGGAGCTAAGTGTCTGCTCCGTAACTGGAAGGTTGCAGGTGCAAGCCCTGCTCGTTCTGTTGCTGTCGTTGTGTCCTTGGGCAAGACACTTTTCCCACCTTGCCTGCTACTGGTGTTCAGAGGGACCGGTGGCTCCAGTGTATGACAGCCTCGCCTCCGTCAGTTCGCCCCAGGGCAGCTGTGGCTACATTGTAGCTCATCACCACCAGGGTGTAAATGTGTAAATGACGGTGTTTAAAAGCACCTTGGGGGATTCTGGGACTCTAGACGGCGCTGTGTTAAATATAGGCCATTTACATCTTCAGATGGGAACTTACACGAACTTCTGAAAGGAACAGCCAGTCTTCCCTGGATGCTATTGAGCAGCACAATGTGGCCTGATCGTCTGGAGATCATTGCTGGAAGGATACCTGCCACCATGAGAGGACATTTCACTGCTTACATCAACTAGATCATTTAAAACAAACTCCAACTAGTATTGTATCTGATTTCCTACACATCCACCCACCTTTGGTGAGAGTGCTTGGGCCAAAGTAGTTGATGTCCATGATGCTTCTGTCCATTTCCAAAGAGACACTCTGAACAGGAGCTTTCAGCTTCATGCTGCTGTTACAGATCAGAATGTCTACGTAGCCATAACACTCCATCACCTCAGTCACCACATCCTCCATGCTGTCCATGTCACTGAAATCCAGGATCACCATTTTTGGGGCAAATGTCTGGATAAAGGGAGATATTGCTTTAGTGGAAAATAATCCTAGAATCAGGTTGTAGATCCTGAAACACCAGATGAATGCAGAATAAATGCTGGAAGTCATGATGTCATCCTCTTGTGTTTGACTTAATAGTATAATTGTGTCCATGCTGATGGAAATATCTCCAGTCTAACTTATTTATAAAGCACATTTTAACAGAGGTGTGCTAAGACCCCTTGTCTCCCTCCACCTGCTCCAATATAGTGTTAACATGTTTTGATGAGGTGTGGTGAGCCTACGTCAGCTGATGCCACCATACAACCCCAATTCCCCCCACAGCCCTCTGTGTCTAAGTGCACAGGAAGTGGGCACCGGCACTCAGGATGAGGCTGAAAGATCCCCTTGTCAAATGCCGTTGACTGTGTTCACTCCCAAGGCCCTAAGTGTGTGTTTGCGTGGAATGTCGTTGGTGAAAGTGCTTAATGTGCAAATAAAATTAGGGGGAATGCTGCCTCAGGAATGCAGAAATGAGATCCATACCCGCACCCCCTGAATTGCCCACCCCCCAAGGTCCTATGTGCATGTTTGTGTGATGATGTAAAGGAGCAGGAGGAGAAAAAAGAGAGCATACAAGTCAGGACCCAATCCCCGAGGCCCCGCCCAGATCCACACACGGGGCCGGCCACCCCCACACCCTGAACCCCCAGGCTCCCACCCAGATCCACTCAGGGGCGATGCAGCCACCAGGCAGCAACACATGGCCACCGCCGAGACCCCCAAGGGGCCCCACTCACAACTGCCAGTAGTCCATCCCTCGAGGCAACCCAAGCACCTTCAGCAGTAGCCCCCCAGCCCCAGACACCCCCAGTGAACCCACCTCCAGGGAGGCGATACTCTAAACTCAGAACCTCCGCCCCATCACCCACATCATCCCGCTGGACAATATCAATGACCCCTCATCATCGCTATGTGATGGAACCGATCAAAGGAGCCCAGAGAGATTAACTTGAAGTGGAAGCAGAGGCTGTATCAAGTGTAATATGATCTAACAAAAGATTTCTATACTGGTTAATGCAAAGAGTATCTCTATTTTTCCAATTCATGAGGATTGTTTTCTTAGCGATGCATATGTCAGTCAGAACCATGTGAACACACACACACACCTCTGTTGTTGCTTGGCTTCCTGGGGCTGGAGGCTAGGAGGGAGAGCTGGCCATCTGACTGGGGTCTGGGGTGGTGGGTTGCTTTGTTCGGCATTAGGCGGAGGCGCCTGCTTATTATCACCCCAGCAGAATGGGGCTAACTCTGGGAACCGGTGATGGTTGTACCCCATGTGCAGCAGTACCGGGACCATAGTGAATAGGGTGTGTATGGGGAGCATGAGTGGGTGTCCAGCACGCATTTTTGTAAGTCTTTGGTTGTATGTGTATGTGTGAGTATGAGGGAGGGAGTGTGTGACTCAGGTGCGGTATTGGACTCCTCCCCTTTCCTGGGACTTCTTGTGCTGCTACACATCTTCGCCGACACTCCCCCTGCCACATTTGGTGTGGAGTGTGGTGCCTTGGTCTGCCTGAGTGTTTGTGGCTCCCGGGTCAGGGGGTTTAAGATTTGTGTGTCTGTCTGATGGATCCCGGTGGCTGCCTGGTGGTGTTTGAGTCCCTGGGCTCTTTTGGGTCCCCGGCAGAGCTGGTCGCGCCTGGGTCAGGGGTGACTGGATTCTGGGCTCAGCCGACTTGGGGGTGGGAGGCTGCGGGCGGGCCTGTGGGCTTGCCGCTGATATCTCCCAAGACTCTGCCGGATGCTGGTTGTGGCCCCCCGGGGCAATCCTCTGCACCTCTCAAGGGGGACAGGGGCTTTTCTGGTTACAGTCTCCCTGGGGTCCCTGCACTCTGGGGCAGCTCCTGGATCTCTGGGACTTGGAGCTCTCTCCATCCTACACATCTCCATCCATCCTACGCATCTTTGGGGGGCAGATCTGTGGCCCCTCACACTCTCAACTGGACGCTCCTATAGAGAGATCTTACATTTACAAGCGTGTGTACGCACACAGGTGCTCACATGGTGCTCTCATCAGTATGGACTTGTAATGACTGGACTTGAAGACCCGTAAGGACCCTGAGACACAGTAAGGCACTTTAAAAGTCTTTATTTACAAAAAGCGAAGACGTGGCATTGCCCGTGGAGAGCGAGGCTGGAGATGAACAGGCGTGGGTCAGAACCAGGAAGATCTATAAGAAGTCCGTGGAGCAGGCGAGAGACGTGGTAGAGGACAGGCGTGGGTAGTGAATGCAGGCAGGGTTCCAGCCAAGGGTCAGACATGAAGCAAGGTGGAGGAGGGAAACAAGGTTGATGGGTCAGGCAGGAAGGAAGGCTGGAAGATCTGCAAGCAAGAGCGTTCAATAATCTGGCAATGGTCGGAGAGCAGGCCGGATCTTATATAGCAGGAGAGGCAGGTGTGTGGCATGAGCTTGATGAGGGGACCAGGTGTGATGAATGAAGGCTGATGAGATGAATGATGGTGAATGGAGGTCAGGGCATGGCAGAATCATGACAGAATCCCCTCACAAGGGCGGATACTAGACGCCCACAGGAAACCAGAGCAGGGCGGGAGGAGGGGGACCAGGAAGGAGGGCCAGAAACCAGAACAGAAAGAATCCAAGAACATAAAGGTGGGCCCAGTAAAGGGCGCCTGATGAAGCAGAGTTCAGGAGGGCGGCCGGGAGGTTGCACGGTGTGGCAGAGTCCAGGAAGGTGGCGTTGAGGTGGCTAAATGATGAGACAAGGCTCTGGGGCCCAGCGACAAGGGACCAGGAGCCGGGACCATAGACGTCTGGGAGGCCTGCGACGTGGAGCCAGGAGCAAAGGCTGAGAGGATCTGGGGGACTGGCGGTGACGAGGCAGGGATCGGAGGACTCTTTGTGGCTGGCAGCGACAAACCAGGGACCAGGAGACTCTGGGAGTCCGGCGGTGACGAGGCAGAAACTAGAGACTTGACAAAACCATGAGAGGTGACTGGGGACCAGGCAGGGCCGCGGAAGGTGAGTCGCCGGGTGGAGTGGCCAGAAAGGATGGAGTCCCTGAGTCTCTGGAGGCGAAGTCTCTGGAGGAGACGGGGCCGCTGGAGGAGACGGACCCTCGGGCAGAGCCTCTTGGATGGGCAGCGCTTCTGATGGGCGGACTCTCGGGCGGCGCCTTTTAAAAATCCAGCTCAACTAAACACACACTAGCTGTGGCTCATCACCACCAGCGTGTGAATGTGTGGATGACTGATTGTGTTGTGAAACATCTTGAGGGGCTATAGAACCCTAAGTAGGTGCTATGCTAATACAGACCATTTATCATTTATCATAGTAAATAATCACTTTTAGACTAATTCTTTCAAACATATGTTGTTTGATTTCTTTTCAAACCAAAACCATTTCAGTTATGATATTTCTAATTAAATGCATTTACCTCGCTCGGGTCAGCCTCATTAGTAAGGAGGTCGAACAGTGACTCCAGCTTGTCCCAACTAGTCCCACACAGGATCAGTCTAGCTCCGGCTTTGTGGAACAGTTGGGAACACTCTGAACACAGAAGAGAGAAACAACGTTCTATCGATGTTGTTAACACATTTACTCAGGCACCCTCCTCATGTCTGTGTGCTCAATTAAATTTTTGCTGACTTCTATTTTTACTAATTTCTGTTTTTTTATTCTATTTTTTCACAACATGCACCTTTACCTGACGTGTGCTATTTTGTTCTTTCATGTTTCGTGTGAGAATGACAACAAGACAAGTTAAAACGAATATCATGTTTTTCTGTGTTTCTGTGTAAAAGTTACAGATAATTAGTGTGTTACCTGTTGTAGCTTCATCTGCATCCTCAATCTGGACCAATAGCTTCTATCTCCTTCAAGACTGAAGAGCTAACGGCTAGTCTAATTGCTATTTTCCACCAGCCCCCCTCAGTGCGACTCAAATTGATTTGGTTTTGTTGAACTTTCCATCTGTAACTTATCTGTGTTTGCCATCAACCTTTCAGAACAATGTGGTTCTAAGCGAATGTAGAGGGTAAATGTTGTTCCTTTTAAGCTTCATATATTACCTTTACTTATGACCAATAAGCTGTGATACTCTGTATAAATATAGAATATCAACCTGCTTGGATGTTTAATCAGGAGATTCTAGGATTCTTTGCTTTTACAGGGATCAAACACACTTCGTCTCAATTCAGACAGTCAGGTTTATAAAAGATAAGAAATTATTTTCTAAACAAATAAAAACATGACAAGTTAACCAAGGCTACTGAGATGGATGAATCTAAGTGGATGGGATGGGATGTATGGTGATTGAATGGTGTGTGTTTATCAGAACCTTGTATCTAGAAGAACTGAGTTCTGGGTGTGAAAAGAATTAGGTTTGCATTAAACTATGAAGTTGGTTCTTATCAAAACAGCATCAGACGCAATCATGTGCATCTACCTCACCCTTTCTTTGGAGACCCACTTCGCGGATCCGGAGGTCAGGGAGGTCGGATGACCTCTGGGCACCGAGGTTCAGTAGATAAACCGCAGCACCGACGCTCCAGTCCTGAGATGTCGCCGGGCACACAGGTTGGAACTAGTTTGTGTCTAGAGCAGCTGTTTCAGAATAGCTGAAGGAACCGTTTTGCTGTGTCAGCTGTAGGCAGCTTTTAGCTTGTCGAAAGCTTGTCAAGAGATGCAGTGGCTAGAGAGTTTTCCTCAGATGGCCAGTCAGAGTTAGCTCAACTAACAGGATGCGGAATCAGTCCCCAGTGATTCTGTTTTAATATTCTCACATTATGATTTACTCAGCCAATCAGAACGTGCCATGTTAAGGCACCTTCTTTCAGATACAGGATGCTCTGATTTGTGGCTAAGAAAATTTCTATGTGCAGAAATTACTTTAACTTTAATTTATCTCTAATGAACCTTGTGTCTGAATACCTTGTCATATCAAGCATTACTGATCATCATAATAATATTCATTTCAACTTCAGTAATTTAAGCACAGATTAATCAAAACATTATTATTATTATTATTATTAATCAACCATTATTGTTCATTTCATTTCATGATTGATTAACTCATATGAGCTGAAAATAGTCACTTTATTCAGAGGCATGGGGAATCCTGTAGAAGCGATAAGGGAAGCTTAGGCCTTGAAACGGGAACAGTTTGTTGACAATACGTTATCATGTGTTCAGAGCTGCAGAGAGGCCCGGACTCCAGCTGATGGAATGGCAGGATCCGGCGGATTAAAGGCAACAAATGTAGACTCCTGTCTTCATGTGACCAGATACTGAAGAGGTCAAACTGTACATGAAAAACTGGCCATTTGTGGACGTTACACGTACCAAGCTGGGCCCAAAATGCAACATCAGCAACTGTTGGTCACTGATCGGCTAGGGGGAGGAGTCACTGGTTGTTCCGGAGTTATCTGCCTGCTTCCATTTCCGAGTTCAGGGTCTGACAAAAAGCCAGCAATGTTCAACATCACCAGCATGTGGAGCATTGATGTGTTATGTTTTTGGTTGTGTAAAGATAACCTCGAACTCATGGGAACTCCTGCACCTGTACCTGTTTCCAGACATGAGGCCCAGCTTGATGAGGTTTGATACAAATCCCCACTGGAACTGCTGTCCGTTTAGCTGAGCTGGATTTTTAAAAGGCACTAGACATGTCTAACACTGTGTCCAGTCTCCATTTAGTGTTGTTGTATGAGTGGTGTGGTCAGCCACAGTTTTTCTAATATCAGCCTGCTGAGTTCCTCATATAGGAAACTTTTTACTGACTGGCATAATGAACTGAGCTCTGCTATATGTTTACTTTGTGAAGTGCCTTGAGACGACTCTTATCACAATTTCACGCCATATAAACAAACTGAACTGAATAATATGAGAAGAAGACAATTGCTGTTTTTTTTATTCAGAGCCAGGTTGGTTTGGATAGATTTGTTGCCTAATGAATAAAATAGTCATTTGAAAACAGTGTTTTGTATTTACTCAGCTGTCTTTTTGTTTGATACTGAAAATAATTTAATCAATTTTGACAAAAAGGAAAAACAGAATAAATTTGATAGAACCTAACGTTTTGGCAGCATTACACAAATCTGCTGGAAGTAACAAAAACAGGCCAGGTTTAATGGTGATTTAAAAACACCCTAAACAAAAACAGGATGATTTACCAGTTCCCACCCTGGACACGGCATCAGTGATCACCACCACTTTGTTGCGCACCAAGGACTTGGACATGAACTGAATGACCTCATTGTAGATGTAGTAGACTCCAGCTGCGACAACCGTCAGCAGAGGCAGCACCATCACCGAGGGCAGGCCCATGTTCTGTAGATAGAAGCAGGCGCGTCAGTCATGCCGGTCAGACGGGCTTACAGCTGGAAGACGGATGGAGCAAAATAAAGTAAACCAGTAACTTTCACTCAAAGCAAGTCTAATCACCTCATCTTCTATACCACTTATTCCTCAGGAAGGTCATGGGTAGCTCCAACAGGCAGGGGACACCCTGGAAAGGTCTCCAGCCCATCACAGGGACACACAGAGACAAACAGCCACTCACACCAGGGGACAGTTTAGAATCTCCAGTAAAATGCATGTTTTTGTTCTGTGGGAGGAAACTAGAGTACCAGAGAAAACTCATGCATGCTTGAGGAAAACATGTTAACTCTATGTAAGGCTGCAGCCAGGATTTGAACCTTTGGCCTTCATGCTGTGAGGCAACAGTGCTACCAGCTGCACCACCATGCTGCCTTATAACAAAGACACATATGACTGTGTTGCTTTTGTCTCTTCATACTATTCCTAAATCTGTCCACGTCTCGATCCAAAAGCTTGTAGAACCTCCTTGATCTCCACTAACCCAGCTCTGGAGGAATTCTGATCCTCCCGTCTTTCCAACGTTTCTTCAGTTCTTTGATGTTTACGTTAGTTTCTGCTCAGCCCTCCTAAGGTCCCACCACAGCATTTTAACCAGATTCTGGTTGACTGAACCATTGCAGAGCCACGATTCTTTTCTTTTCCAGTCGCTCTGTGTCGTTCTGCTGCTGTGTTGGAGATCATTGTTCTGTTGTATGACCCAGTTTGGTCCAAACTACAGCTGTCAGACAGCTAAACTAAAGGCAGACTCCTGAGGATTTTAGTGCGCAGAGGACATCATGGTGGACTCATTGCCTGTGAGGAGCCAGCCCATCAGCCCTCCACCACTGATTTTTAGTTGTGAAATTCTCTAGATGTGTTGACTATTGCAAACTTAAAACGTTGCATTTAATAGTGTTTTACTTCCTGAGGTTCTGTGTTGTATTTGGCTGTGTTGCTGACACACTTACCATGTAAAGAGAGTTTGAGGAACACAGCTAAAAATATGCTGGCCTCGGTGCAACCACAGAATGTCTCATGCTATAACATCTCTAAGATAATGTCACAAGATACCCATGAGGGAGCCACAAAGGAGCTTCACATCTGTAAGCAATAACAAAATGCTCTTTCCTTGCTTCATATGTGGATAAAACATCAAAATAAGCTCAAAGCCACGTTAAAAACACACAGTGGTTCTAGAGATCCGGTTTCCTGCTATTTCCAATGTTGGGAATAACACGTTACAGAGATTAGTAAGCTTCTGAGTGCGCGTCTAAATGAACAAGACACCTGAAATCTGTTCTGATTGGTTCACTTACAGCACAGACAAGGAGCTAATCCTTCAGCAGGACTGGATGTTGTCTTTTTCTGGATTTGGTTAGATAACGGTGGCCTTGTCCTGCCCCTGTGTCCCTCGTCCATTCACACAGTGGATCCACTGTCTGTCTGAGCCGCTGCTGCCTGCTGGAGTCCCATGCTCAGAATAGCCTCTGCTTGAGTCAGCCATTAATACACACATGCAGTGCACAGTATGTGAAGCATGCTCTCTTGCTGCCAACATGATGGGATGGACCGCATGTGAGGGGACCCGTCCTACGTTGCAGTTATATTGCAAGGAGATCAAAAATTCATTTGCTTTCATGGCTGGATACTTTTAAAGATGCAGATGATATGTTTTTTTCAATACAATAAGGATAAATCATATTTATTTTCATAACAAATAAATTTACTAAAGTATCGCCTGAGCAGAATATGGACAGGACCGCCAGCTCCCCAGAGTTCACATCATGGTGCAGATGCAAGAAAACCTGTACACAAGTGTCCATGGCACTCACCGCCAGTAGGTGGCAGCAGTGTGCAGTTATCGCGAGATCCCGTAGAGTTCCCGGAGCTCTCCCTCTCTCCATTGGGAAAGCAGAAAATAAAGCTGCTGCCGATGAGATGGCTACTTATGCATCCAAGTCGTTTTCCATCTTGTGACTGGCCAAGAGGTTTCCCTGCAGGAAAGCGATTCTACCCGGCAGTCGATCAGTTGGAATTTTAGGACTTGTGAGCAGTTTTTGTTAGGAGAAGTCAAGCTGAAGATTTCAGAGTGCCCGTGCCTTTAGCCTACACCGCTAACTGTAGGTAGCAGAAAAGCACCGGACGAACTTCGCGCAGACGGACTGCTGCGTGTGGAGGAGCAGCCTGCTGCCTGACAGCGACCCCTTTCCTGGTGGCCTGCCGCCTACGGGACTCTGTTTTCCTCAGGCGACCTTGTTTGTTCTCATGTAGAAGACAATAATTGCGTGGAAATGTGCTTTTCGTCGTTTGCGCCATCCCCGTATTGATCTAGAAACCCACTGGCAAGCTAACAGGATATTAGCCACCTTCTCGCCTCTTCGCTTTGTGGTTGCAGGCCATGGACCGAGAAGCACTGGCCGTTTACTGGATGATGGGAGGTCTCGCTTGATGGCAGCTACTGGGAGGCAGCACAGGACCTAGTTTAACCGACGGAACATTTGAGCACTTTGTTACTTGAAAATGCCTCGGAGCGCCGGAGCCTTTTCCAAGTTGGGATAAGGGGAAAGGGCAGGGAAACAGCGGGATTACAGCTCCGCCGGTGATTAAATATCCTCGAAGGAATTTTCTCGAGTGAGTTTATTTAAAAAGGGGAAGCACCATGTCTACCGCTAAAGAAAACCCCTGCAGGAAATTTCAACCGAACTTTTTTAACAAAAGTAAATGTCAGAATTGCTTCAAACCACGGGAGCTGCATCTCCTGACCGACCAGGACCTGATCCAGGTAAACAACACACAACACCCCACCCCTCCGTGCCGCGGCGGTGTCTGCTGTGGTGAGGGCAGACTGGAGTTCACGGAGCTCATGTGAATTCTCGGGATCCAGGAGTGACAACGATCTGACGTTGTTTATGTTGGCAGCATCCCAACACATAAACGTTTTTGTTGTTTCTGTCCCTAGAGCAGTGTTTATGACCGTCCCATGAAACCCGTTGTTGTAATCTAGTTCTGTAAGTGGATCAGAGCTGCGTCTTGTACACATTGAGGCAGAGATCACTTTTAAAGGGACGGCGAGTGGATACGAGACTTGAGAAGCTCCACTCAGCTGTCTTCACATGTGAGCGTGATTTCGAGCCTCTCTTCCAGACCTTTAGTTTAGTCGGAGTTGTGTAATTGATCCCAGATGGGCCCATGAGCACGGCACAAGAACCCAACAGCAACGTCAGCATCCGGTCCCCTCTGGCTGCACGTGGTGGACGCACTAGGACTGCTCTTTATGGAGAAATCGGGATTGTTTATGCTAAAATTGCAATGAGGTTCAACACTATTGTATGGTAATACATTTAGAGGTGACATTTTAGGGGGCTGCAGACATTGACTCCTCTGTGGTGCTAGAGTTAAGCTGTTGTTTAACTAAAACCCTCCCTGATTAAGTTGGGCCAGTTCAGGAGCTGAACATCTAAAATATCTTGGGTTTTTTTTGTCAAATGCACACTGGCAGCAACACATCTGCCACGTGGAAGATTTTATGTCCAGAACAATCACGCAGAGTTTTTTCTGTGTTCCTTGAGAGTATCAGCAGGTATGGGAAGACTTGGAAATTAGGCATGTCCCATCAGGTTTTTTTGCCCTCGAGTCCGAGTCATTTGATTTTGAGAATCTGCCGATACCGAGTCCCGATGCAAAACGTTCGATACATAAAAAAAGAAAAGAAAAGGAAGAAACAGTTCCAGAATGTTCCTTATTTTTTATTTAATTACTTTTTTATTTTAATTTTTAACAACAGATCACTTCTGTGAGGTAGCTTAAACAATCAATAAATAACATAAATTCTTCACTTTTGGACTTTATTGCAAATATAAAAAGTCTAATATAAAAACAGAGAGCACTTCAACTTAAAATACCTGGCAGGGGTCTATTTTGCTTCAGCCCCCAAAATGCTTAGATACGTCCCTGGACATGGGACGGAGTTTTGAAGATGATCTGAATTGTATCAACTATAGAAATACTACATGCTGATAAATGATTGCTTCATACAGGTACAGACGTGTAGTGGGATCAATCTACCTACATTTTATTTTGTTAAGAACTAGGGCTGCACGATATTGGGAAAACCTGCGATATTCGATAACAGTGCTTAATATTGCGATATCGATATTACTCACGATAAATGAACAAATACTAAAGTATGCAGTGTTGATGTCTGCGCTGGGTTCAAAGCAAACAAAACTAATGCATGAATTCCATTACAACATGACATTTTTATTGCAAAAATATGCAGCTGCACCCTCTACTGTATTAGCAGCTGCACCCTCTACTGTATTAGCAGCTGCACCCGCTACTGTATTAGCAGCTGCACCTGCTACTGTATTAGCAGCTGCACCCGCTACTGTATTAGCAGCTGCACCTGCTACTGTATTAGCAGCTGCACCTGCTACTGTATTAGCAGCTGCACCTGCTACTGTATTAGCAGCTGCACCCGCTACTGTATTAGCAGCAAAACAACAAACTGCATGCATGCAGTTTCTCAGTGACTTTAAAACATCACCTCCACCATAAAACTTGTTCTGATGCTCCAAATACAGAAAAACATCCCTTACCAGGGTTTTTGAATAAATAAATAAATCAGAAAATAAGTTTAAATGTTAAATAATAGTTAACATCACTTAAATGCAACAGCAAATTCTCTCATTGCTACTGAGCATTTTCTCCACTTATGTGGTTATGATACAAGGCTGTTGCTGTAATTGGGAAGTGAACCGTGCTGGGCCAAACTAGGAGAATATTAAGATTTTCTGAGGGAAAGAGAAAAACAATTGTCTACCTTCCAGAAGAGGAACTGGCAAAAAAACTACATGGAAAATATGTGAAAACGTTTGTTTTTAACCCCAAATTGAACAAGTTTACCTAGATCTTAAAAAGCAGCTCAGATGATGAAACTGCAACCAGAGGTGGAAAGAGTACTAAAATGTTGTACTTAAGTACAAGTATAATTACTTTCATGAAATTTTACTCAGTTACAAGTAAAATTACCTGCCTCAAAATGTACTCAAGTAAAAGTAAAAAGTAGCTTATTTCAAATGTAGTCAGAGTAAAAGTTACTTAGTTACTTTTTTGACTGTGCAAGGACGGGCTCTTCTGAATAGTTAAAAAAAAGACAATGGGGTATAAATGTCAAATTGGCCGTTTTTTTAATTAAATGAACAAATATGCATACAAAGGCAGTTACACTGCAAACTAGTAACATAAATTAGGTTATAGTCACAAGCCCATGACTTTTCCCTGAATGCTTATTTAGAGCAGCTGATTTTTAAAGTTAGCAGAGTTCATCTTTGGTAGTGGGTTCACTCACTCATTTAAAGATATCGGCCAGAGGCAAAATTTGTTTGAACAGCATGTGTAAATGTGTATTAAAACCTCAGATGAAAAAGGTTTTTGGATTTTGACGGCTGGAATTGTAAGAAAATCTGATGTTTGTGACCGGCGCGGGAAAAACAGAAACTAACTTCCGGTCTAAGCCCTGGGCAGCAGTTGACGTTTCACATGGAGCTCTGCTGAAACAGCTGTAGTAAACAACGCCTGACTCCGCTGTTTCTGCGTTAGCGTTATAGCAGAGAACAATGTGTCATCAATCAGATGTAGCTTCTGAAGCCTCTGCTAGTCCATCAGATTTGTTTTTTCTCTGGGATACGGCGACAAGAACGGATGTTAGATTACCGGAGAAGTTCAACCGAACTCCGACCCCGCCAGCTGGATATCACTACCAGAGGTGCAGACATGTTTTAGACCGTTTGACTCAGAAGACCTGTGACCTGATTTGGACATAGAGGAGGATTCTGTTCATCTTCAGAACCAAAATCGGTACAGTTTGTTTATTTTCTTAAATGTTTCATTTGCTCCACTGGGAGCTCTAAGCTGACGAGTTCTCAGCTGGTCTTAGCTCCATCATGTGTCCCAATATAGTTCAGTAATCTACAGTTTTACTGCTGTGTGTATTTATTGATATAACTCTGGAAAATATTTAACCAACAATTTACCAGAATAAATCTTCCTGATGCTGGAGTAACTCCTTAGCTCAACTCGTTGTTTGCACCAATCCAGGATGTCATAGAGATCATCTTTTAGATTATATCTGTGTGTGTGTGTGTGTGTGTGTGTGTGTGTGTGTGTGTGTGTGTGTGTGTGTGTGTGTGTGAGTGCGCGTGTGAGTGTGTGTGTGTGTCGTAGCTTTCCCAAAGGTCTTGTTCTTTCCTTACCGGAGCGAACACGGTTAGTTTTGCTGCAGTCATGCTAACGGGACTCGTCTGGAGTCCAGAAGTAGCAGTGCGGTTCTAGATGGATTTATAGATGTAGGTTATTATTTTAGATCAGACCTGTTATTTAAAAATGCGTGTAGGACACAGACACATGGCTCAGACCTTTTGCTGCAGCTATAAACGCAATTTTACGTAATAATTAGGAGCATGAAAGTAAACAAATAACAGTGATTCACAATATTAGCATCAGCAGCTAGCTTGTTTTACGTGCTGGAGTGACGTATGTGAAACACAGTTCTTCACTGTCTGGAGGAGAGGATTTGGATTTTCTGTAATGATTTATGACAAAAGTGCTTAACAAAATAAAAAACTGGACCCAGTACATGTTTATATAGATAATAAAGTGTAGTTATTTTGCATTTCTACAATTTTAATGCCGAGCCAGTACCTTTAACCCTTCACCACTGAAATCAGTTTGTTCATTCCAATCCTCCTAAATAATCCTCCAATCATCCAACTGGAATCCTTAAGGGTCCCGTAACATCCATCCTGTCAGAACAGGCCTTGGGAGCCCAGGTGTTACTAGAACTAATGGTGTCTCCTCACCAGCGTGAGCCTCCAAACTGTGAAGGTTGGTCTCCAAACATGAACTTCAAATTCATGCATTTATCTCCTCTTGTAACACTTTAACATGTTTTAAAAGGCTTGTATCATGATAAGTTACACCTCCCAGACCAAAGATAGGTCCAATATAAGATAAAACATTATCATAAACACTGCAGAGATGTCATTATTTATGAAATATAAGTTATTTTCCTGAGCCATTACTTCAGCCAAGATATAGGATGCATGGATTTGATGAAGCCATGCTGTCTTATGCAGTCCCACACACACACACACACACACACACACACACACACACACGCGCGCACGCACACACACACACACACACACACACACACACACACACACACACACACACACACACACACACACACACACACACACACACACACACACACACACACACACACACACACACACACACACACACACACACACACACACACACACACACACACACACACACACACACACACACACACACACACACACACACAGCAGCAGCATGTTAGCATGTGAATGACTAATTTAACTACACTGAACTGCTTTTGTAATAATTTAATCTCTTATTCTGGAGTAAAAAAATGAAACAAGCTAAATCATCACATATCTGTGCCATCAAGAAGCATCTTCTGAGTTCAGACACAGGGATGGAGCACAATGTTTACACCTGAACAGTATCAGGATTAACTCACAGAGGCCTGCAGGTCTTCTGTTTTATGAGCAGAGCGCTGATAATCGGCTTCTTAGGAGCGTTAAACGTAATTTTGCCGCTTCCGTGCGGAGCGGTAAGGAAACACATTTCAAACACGGAACCGAGTCTGGTTGCCGAACCAGCAGAATTCTGATGACGTCACACCGGTGCGCGAAGGTGCGGGTTCCAACCCACAGGAGAGGAGG